TTCGGATTCTTTTTTCATTTTGCTTTTCTGGTTGGGTGTTTTTTGCTTCTGTGGCGGTGGCCGGTCCAGGTGAAGCCGGCTCGGTTCCTGGGTGCCTGCAGCTGGCCAGAGGGAGGGAAGCCCAGGTGCCTGTGACTGGCTGGAGGAGGGAATCCTGGGTCCCAGGTGCAGGGCGAGGCAGAGGTGGTTAGCGGCAATCAGGTCAGCAGGGGAGCAGTTAGGGGTGATTAGGCAGGTAGGCGAGCGGTTAGGAGCCAGCAGTCCCAGATTGCAAGAGGCAGTTGGGCATCCCCCGAGGAGTCCTGGATTGGAGAGGGTGCAGGCCAGGCTGAGGGACATGAATTTTATATGATAAAGAGCTAATATGCAAATGGGAGAGAGGAATTTTGCACGAATTTTGTCCACTGGGCCTCTAGTCCTATCTAATAAAAGAGAAACATGGTAATTAGCATACATCCGCTACTCTTCCCATTGGCTAATCAGGGCGATATGCAAATTAACTGCTAGCCAAGATGGCGGCCGGCAGCCAGGCAGCTTGAAACTAACATGAGGCTTGCTTGCTTCAGTGACGGAGGAAACCAACGTTCCCCACCTGCCTTGCCGGCCTCTGAGCTTGCAGTTTGAAACATAGTTACAAATATAGAAGCTAAACAAAACCCCAGAAACCTGCTTTAGGCGAGCAGGGATCTCAGAGCTGGAGTTGATACAGTGTTTCGATTATAGAACACAAACAAACCGGATACCTGCTTTCAGCAGCAGAGGCCTCAGAGCTAGAGCCTGAAGGCCTAGAATAAAAAAAAAGAAAAAAGGAGGAGTTGGGAGCTTCAGTCACCCGCCAGCCTGAAAACAGCCCTCAGCCCCTCACCCAGACTGGCCAGGCACCCAGTGGGGACCCCCACCCTGAAGGCTGTGTGACCAGCTGCAAACAGCCATCATCCCCTCACCCAGGCTGGCCAGGCACCCCAGTGGAGACCCCCACCCTGATCCAGGACACTCTTCAGGGCAAACCAGCCAGCCCCCACCCGTGCACCAGGCCTCTATCCTATATAGTAAAAGGGTAATATGCCTCCCAGCACCAGGATCAGTGTGACAGGGGGCAGTGCCCAAACCCCCCTGCGGCTCTGTGTGTGACAGGGGGCGGGGCCACAACCTCCCTATCCGCCCTGCTCTATTCGTGACAGGGGAAGGCGCCCCAACCCCCTGATCAGCCCTGCTCTGTGCCTGATACGGGGGAGCTCCCCAACGCCCTGATCGCCCTGCGGCTCTGTGTGTGACAGGGTGCGGCGCCCCAACCCCCTGATCAGCCCTGCTCTGTGTGTGACAGGGTGTGGGCCCTGCTCTGTGTGTGATGGGGTAGAGCCATAACCTCCCCATCAGCCCTGCCCTGAGTGTGAGAGTGGCAGCGCCCCAACCCCCTGATCGGCCCTGCTCTGTGAGTGATAGAGGGTGGCGCCCCAACCCCCCGTCCACGGGCCCTGCTCTGTGTGTGACGGGGTAGAGCCATAACCTCCCCATTGGCCCTGCCCTGAGTGTGACAGTGGCGGCGCCCCAACCCCCTGATCGGCCCTGCTCTGTGCGTGACAGGGGGTGGCGCCGCCACCTCCCCATCGACCCTGCCTTGAGTGTGACAGGGGAGGTGCCCCAACCCCCCAATCGGCCCTACCCTGAGCGTGACTGAGGGTGGCATCGCAACCTCCCAATCCGCCCTGCTCTGTGCATGACAGGGGGCAGTGCCCCAACTCCCCAATCGGCCCTGCTCTGAGCCCGATCAGGGGCTGCACCTGGGATTGGGCCTGCCCTCTGCCACCCGGGAGCAGGCCTAAGCCAGCAGGTTGTTATCTCCCGAGGGGTCCCAGACTGCGAGAGGGCACAGGCCGGGCTGAGGGACCCCCTCTCCCCCACCCCCCCACCCCCCGAGTGCACAAATTTTTGTGCACCAGGCCTCTAGTCTTATATAATAAAAGGCTAATATGCAAATCAACCAAACAGTGGAACAACTGGTTGCTATGATTCACACTGACCACCAGGGGGCAGACACTCAATGCAGGAGCTGCCCCCTGGTGGTCAGTGCACTCCCATAGGGCAAGTGCCACTCAGCCAGAAGCCAGGCTCATGGCTGGTGAGCACAGCGGCGGTGGCGAAGCCTCTCCCGCCTCCACGGCAGTCAGACATCCCCCAAGGGCTCCTGGACTGCGGGAGGGCACAGGATGGGCTGAGGGACCCAGCCCCCAAGTGCATGAGTTTTGTGCACCGGGCCTCTAGTGTTTCAATAATAAACAGGGAAATTTATCATATTTTTCTTCATTTTCATAATTTTCTTAACTTTTCTCATCTGCTATTTGTTCAGGTAAATAATAAAATAATTTTGTTTTAGTCTCACAAAGTAGGTTTTAGCCTCCTTGTACAATGAGGAACCGAGTCAAAAAGAATGAATAGCCAAAGTTTATACATCTCCTCAGTGGACAAGGCATAAAGCAAAATGTCTTTGACATCTCCCCTTGCAGCTCTAAAGTGCTATAATTTTTTATTAAACACACACATACACACACACAAAACTCATAAAATTTCTTAGAAACCATTCTATTTCCTTTCCTATCTGCCTCCCTCTAATGGCCATCACAGATATTGCCCTTTCTCAAATCAATTTTATATATAGCACTATAATAATTTTCATAAAGTAAAAACATATTTAGCTTAACTCTTTATTTTAAAAGTTTTAATTGACACAAGTTTGTAAGAGAAATTGTCTAACATTTGGGGGTCATGTATTACCAGCATTTTTTAAGCAAATACCAGCCCTCAGAAGACGTTTATTAAAAAGTTGAGTGAAGCCCTGGCCAGTGTGGTTTAGTTGGTTGAGCATCGTCCCAATCACCAAAAGGTCGCTGACTTGGCAACCAATTGATGTTTCTCTTGCTCTCCCTTTTCCTTCCTCTCTCTCTAAAATCAATAAAAACATATCTTTTTTAAAAAAGTTAAGTGAATAAAAGCAAAATTTTGTAAATGTCATGGGTTGTAAAGTAGTAACAATAGCACATACAAAGACCTTCCAGGTGTTTCTTTGTTCCGTTTTCCTCATCCCCCCCCCCCCCCCCAACACACACACACATTATCTAAGTACTTTCATGAATAACTATCTTTAAATTCTCCTTCTAAGCTATCTCTTATGGGTTTTGTGATGTTGTTTTTTACCTCACTTTATGTCCTTTCTCTCTTGTAGTCCCTCTGTGTATGTTCAGTTGGTACAAAGATGCCTAGACAGGGGTGCAGAGGGGACTGGAAGCCAGCCTATGCTCTAGCCCAGAGGAAGGGCCACCTATTTGTAATTGCCACAAAGATCTGGGATGCGCTAGCAGGGGCTGGCGTCTCCTGCAGTCTCTTGGTTGAAACCCCAGTCTCATTTTCTTCCCTGTTCATTTCCTTACCCCCTCTTTTTTTCCTTTTTATTTTGTCCTTCTTCCTGCCTAATCTCATCATCCTTCTATTTCTCCTTTCTTATTCTTCTCCACCTGCAAGAAATTAAATTTTACACAAATATGTGTAAATTACCATTTTAAATTTAAAAAGAACTAAGCTGAAATATATTTACGTGTTAAAAGCTTACCCAAGCAAAAAGTACAAAAAGAAAAAAAAATTCTGGGAAGCCCTTATCAAAATGTCTTTTTTCCTTTATCTGAATTCCTTAAAGACAGGGGTTGCCTATATAACTCTCATCCAGGAGTTCGTAATACTATTTAACCTTTACTTAGCCAATGCAAGATAAATGAATTAGTATTTAACATAACAGGGAACAACATTTAAGAGGGGGAAAAGAAGGTAAACAGAAAGCTTAGGCCCATTATTCATCAAGGATTAAGGGTTGACAGAACTGATTCTCTCCTGGAGTTGGTCCAGGAAGAGGGGGATAATAATACTGGCCTAATTAACTAGCACGTTGGGTAGATTAAAGTGCTTTGCCAACATTAATTAAAGATGCCGGGAGTTAGACAAGGCCAATGTGTTATTAGAGAAAAAGTTTTCTTCCCTTTAATCAGGTATCTCTTCCTGGTGAGGACAAAGAAATGATCTAAGGACTAAGGAATTGGGGCTCAGCCCTGAGGGCTGCCCGTGACTTAGCCATTCTGAGCAACCAACCACATACTTCCTGAGATTTCTGTAAAATGGGGATAAACACAAAGAACACTTCGGAATACAGGTGATTATAATGAACGCCGTTTGAGTACACAACAAATTCTACAATTAATAAAACCCATAACTCTTGCTTTCCCCTCTGTAGAGAGTTGTTCCACCCCCATGGAAACACCGGTAACATTAACTTCCACCACCTTACAAAGCCTTCCACACCAGCTATTACTTCAGTCGATATTTCCAGTGATAGAGTCGAGGAGAAAATAGCACCAAGCAATGGGGTCAAAAACGCTTGGACGAGTTTATTCACCTCTCTGAACCTGTTTTCCTTTGATTCCTCCTCTGCAAAGTGGGGTCAAGACGTCAGGGTGTGTGTGTGGGGGGGAGGGGGGGTGTTGTTCTGAGGGTTAAAATGAAATAATGTGTATATGTTAAATGCCTTGTCCTAAGGTAATAAGTATTCCATAATAGTGGTCATTATCATTGACATAAATATAAAATCTCTCAAAGCTGACAGAGGTGGTGGTGGTGGGGGGGGGGGGGGCGGGTGTCCCATTTCTTCAAAACCTCCAACGCAAACCCCTATCGCTTTTCTACGCGTATATAACTCAGAGATGGCGGTGGGGGTTCACTCGGGTGGTCTCCAATTCAAACCTCACTCAGAGTCGGAGGATCCCAGCTAGAGGCGGCCGCGCGCGGGGCTGTCCCACCAGGCCGGGCGCGCGCTGTGTGTTGGGGCCGAGCCGGCTGGTGGGCGCGGCAGGAGCGCGCACTGGGGTAGGCTGACCGCGCGGTGCAGCGGGTGCGTAGTGAGCGCGCCCGCGGGGCGGCGCAAGGCGCGGGAGCGAGCGTGCGCCGGCGGGGAGCGCGCAGAAGCGCGCGGGGCAGGGCAGTGAGCGGCGGCGTGTGCACGCGCGGCGGCGGCGAGAACGCGCGGCGGGGCGGCCTGGGACTGTTGGCGAGACGCGCGCGAGCCGACCGGCCATCCGGCGGTGCGAGGGCTCCGGGTGTCGGGCCGGGTGGACACCTGCGGTCCCCGGGGAGAGGGCCTATGCCAGGTGAGTGGGGACCTTTCTGTCGCCGGCGGGATTCCAGCGGTGGGATTACGTCCTGGCAGCCGGTCGCCTCCCTTGGCGCGTCGGCGAGCCGGGCGCATTTGGACTGTGATGTGGGAGGCTGAGGTCGGGTGGGTTTTAGGTAGAGAGGGGTGACTCCTTTTCTGGTGACCCGCTGCCTGCGCTTCCCACTCTTCCCGGCGGTGCCGTCCTTGCGAGGATGTCTTCCTGCGCCCTCTCCCTCTCCTCCGCATCGCTTGTCCCGAGCCCTGGAAGTTAGGAAAGACTGGCGCAAGTCGAGGGACCGTGGTCAACCCGGTGGCCTCACTCACGGGAAACCCGGTCCCTCTTTTGGGATTTCAGGGGTGCGAGTGCACCCCGGTCGAGGGCGGTGTGGAGGACGCGGCGTTTTTCTACTCCCAGGTTGTCCTGTTGCGGGGCGTCCGTGATACGTGTTTAGCTTTGGGCGCAGATGGGTCCGGGGTGTTCCTAACACGCCTCCCCTGCCCCCACTGTCCTTCCTGGAACCGAGGGAGGGTCGCCCACTGGCCGCCGTGGCCCGCGAACTCCCGTAGGTGCTCTGTCCCTTACCAGGCGGAGAGGAGGGTGAGAGCCTAGTGCTGGCAGGAGGCGGCTAAAGCCACCTGTTAAACCTGGGTCCTGCTGAAAATGAACAGTGGATTTTCGTCCCCACCCCACTCCACAACCTCTGACCCCCAACAGGTAACTGAATCACACAGGCACGTGTAGGATCTGCCAATGAGCCGGGGCAGGAGGGATTAAAAAGGGAAGAAAATGTGATGCAATTTAGTAAAAGGCAATAAAATAAACTCCAGTATTTCTCCAAAGCTTTGAAACGTTCCCAGTATTGTTTTACAGAGTCTAAATTTAAGCATTTAGCTTTTTTTTTTTTTTTTTAACCGCAGGAACTAACCTCAGAAAACTTTTAACTCTTTGCCAAGTTAAAAAGAGTTGGTGCAGAGCAGAAAACTTAAAGTGAGTAAAGGAAAATGATTTTGTGTGTGTGTCTCCACCCCCCTCCCCCCCCCCCCCCAACAGATTGAACCGTTCAGGTCTGTTGCTGGAGACCATAGGAATAAGGCTCCTTCTATCTCCAATTTTAATGGAGAACACTTTTTTTTTAACCTGTCTTTCTGAAATGTATAGAAATAGTATACCAGGTATAAGTGTAAACTTGAGGAAAATGCTCTCAGGAGAAACCTTTATTAAAGATACTTTTCTGCTTTATTTTTTTTAAGCACTACATACTTGGTGCTCTAACATGCACTGCGAGGTTTGCCCTCAAAGTTCCATGTCTGAATGCTAGATTGTTTTTCTAGGTGGAGGAGGTATTTTCCTTCATGAGGTCAATGTGGAAATACAAACAAATGCCCTATTTACTTGGGATTGGGTGGGAAGGGTGGAAGTTGTCTAAAATCTCCTGCCAAACTTGACAACGTATGTATGGAATCTTGTGTATTTTCTTGCCCAGATCAGTAATAGCCATTTTTAAGTGACTGGATATAGTTCTTGGTAACAGCACTTCAAATGAGCTTTCCTCTGAAATTCGTGGATGCTAATCATTTAAAAGTCACACATTTTCTCTATTACTAGAGATCAGAAAGCCAAAATGAGAATACTAAGTTAGAAAAGGCTGGAAAGAGGGATGCTTTTAAGGAAGTTTGAATGTGTTTGACTCCCTGATGGCCTCTTTGTGGCAGGGGGATTTGCCTGTTTTGGTGCAGGCTCTGCTGTTCATTAATTCGTCTAGCCCCCTTTGTAGACTGTCTGAGCACCTACAGTGTGCAGAACCCTGAGCTAGTCATTGAACATACAAACATATAGATAACAGCCATATGGCCCAAACTGATTAAAACCAGATCAAGTAATTCTTCCTCAGGAGCTGAAGATACACCTGGCCCTGGTTCCAAAGTTCTCAGACACCTAAGGAGCCTATAGTTGTCACCCTGTGTTGATTCTAACCATCATCTCAAATAACTACAAGAGGTGGATTGGAAGCCTTGAAGTCTGAAGGGAGAGAGGTGAAAGGCTTGGGTGAAGCAGAGAACAGGAGATCCTCTGGAACAAAAAGTTCAAGTGCATCTTATCTACATGGTTGTGGGACAGCTGCCAGTGGCGCAGAGGCCATTTGGGGGAAGGTGCCAGGGAATCCTAGGAGCATCCCAGAACTTGAGCTCTTTCCTGTGCTGGTGAAGGGCAGCATTTCATTTCAGTTTCCATGCTCTTTCTGGTGGCAGTGATGGTGGCTTCCTACCTGTGCTCTAAGGATGATGGGCTCTGCAACTCTCCCTCCTTCTAATATCCTGCAGCATTCTCCCCTTGGATCTTTGAAGGAGCCCGGGGGCCCTTGTAGAAAAGCCTCTGTTCACACTGACACAGTGAGGTCAAATGTAGTGGAGTCACTGATAACAGCCTCTGTAGAGAACCACAGTGAAGCTGCACCTCTCAATAATGCCCTGTTCTGCCCTGCCGGTTTGACTCAGTGGTCGAAAGTTGACCTGTGAACCAGGAGGTCACAGTTCCATTCCTATTCAGGGCACATGCCCAGGTTGTAGGCTCAATCCCCAATAAGGGGCATGCAGGAGGCAGCCGATCAATGAGTCTCTCTCATCATTGATGTTTCTATCTCTCCCTCTTCCTTCCTCTCTGAAATCAATAAAAACATATTTTTTAAAAATAATGCCCTGTCCTTCTTGGGGACTCACGGAATTAATCTTGAAGCCTGTTTTAAGGAAATAGGTGCTGGGTTACAGTCCATGCAGACAGGTAAAGAAATGTATAGGGCAGAACACTGCACCTTGCCTTATTGGAGCGGGATATGATAGCTCTTTATGAATGCAATCAGACTGGATATTTCCAAAGACCCTAGCACTGTAAAGACTTGATTCATTCTCTCTCTCTCTCTCTCTCTCTCTCTCTCTCTCTCTCTCTCTCAGTAAAATACACATAACATTAAATTTATCATGTTAAAGTGTATAAATCAGTGGAGTTCAGTACACTCACATTATATGTGTTTATTTTTTTCTGTAGAGGTCTACAGATATTCATTCAATGAACTTTATTAACTGCATTATTCCTCATTAACTTTGTATCTTCTTAACCTGTTTATAACTTGAGCTATATTGAAAGATCCCACTATAATGGGGGATTTGACAACATCTGGTACTCTGAGATCACTTCTGCGTACAACTTTATATTTTAGTATCTGACAATATGCATTTATAAGTTTATATTGTTAGATATACCAAGTCTAATAGGAATTGAACTTTCATCATTACATAATTACTTTTATCACTACTGAGGATTTTTGCCTTCAAGTCTATTTTGCCTCATGTAATATAGCCAGAAGTGATCTTTTCATTGTTGCTGTTGTTATTATTTGTTTGATGTATCTTTTCCCATCTTTTTTTTATTTAAATATCTTTACTGAGTTATAATTGACATTCAATAAACTGCACATATTTAAAGTGTAAATAACTGTATATTCACAATGTTATGCAGCCATCACCACTATCTAGTTCCAAAACTGTTTCATCACCCCCAAAGGAAAACCCATATCTGTTAAGCAGTCACTTCCTCATTTCCCCCCTACTCTGGTCCCTGGCAACCTCTAATCTGCTTTCTCTCTTCATGAATTTGTTTGTTCTGGATATTTCACATAATAGAATCATACAATATGTGGCCTTTTGTGTCTGGTTTGTTGCACTTAGCAATACTTTTGAGATTCATCCACACTGTAGCATGTATAAGTACCTCATTCGTTTTTATGACTGAATAATATCTTGTTGATGGATGTACCATAATTTGTTTATACATTCATCAGTTCTTGAATATTTGGGTTGTTTTCCCTTTTGATTATTGTGAATAATTCTGCTATGAGCATTTGTTTGAACACTTGTTTTCAGTTCTTTTGGGTCTACTAGTAAACCTAAGAGTGGAATTCCTGACGGATATAGTAATTCAATGTTTAACCTATTGAAGAATCACCAAACTGTTTTCCATGGTAGTTGCACCATTTCACATTCCCACCAGCAATGTAAGGAGGGGTCCAGTTTATCTACATCCTTGCCAACACTTGTAATTTTTCCAAGGTGTTGTGTGTGTGTGTGTGTGTGTGTGTGTGTGTGTGTGTGTGTTTTTAATTGCCATTCTAGTGGGCATAAAGTAGTATCTCATTTTGATTTTGATTTATATTTCCCTAATGACTAATAATGTTGAGCATCTTTTCATGTGTTTGTCGGCCATTTATAGATCTTCTTTGGAGAAATATTTGTTGAGCAATTTGATTCTCTTTTGAATTAGCTTAAGCTTAGTTATTTTTATAGGGCTCAGTTTGTATATGATCTTCCTTCTCAAATATTCACTCTGTTGTTTTGCTATTTTTTTTCTGTTTTCTCTTTCAGGCTTCTGTTGTTACTTCTAGGAAACTAGTTGTCTGACTAGTGCTTTGACATATTTAAAATTTTGCTTATTTTAGTTGTTGATCCAAAGGCCTGGGGTGTTCGTCTGTTTATTCGGTAATATTTGTAGACTGTGAGGGCACCTACAGTGTGCTGAGCATTGAGATAGTAATTGTGCATACAAACATGATAAGTCCTCTTTTGCTTCTGTTTTTGATGCTTGCAGCTTACAATTTATTTATTTATTTGGTCAGTAGACTCCACTACATTTGACCTCACAGGTCAGTAGAACCTAGCATAGGGAAAAAGAGCAGTACTAAACTGAAAGTGAGGGGATCCACCTCAGGTGTCATCACTAAATAGCTGTGTGATCCTAGGAACTTGGTTTCCTAGTCAGTAAAATTTGAGGCAGGATTAAGTGGTTGTCTTAGCCCCTCTCAGACCTTGAAACTGGAGATTATGAATTAATGATTCACCACAGCTTTCCTTTACAAACCCAATTCTGTGAGTGTATTTAAAATAGTTTATTTTGCACAATCTACTTAAAGGAATTATCTGTGTACAAAAAAAAATGCCTGTGCTCTTATATATTAGACTAAACTGGTTAGTTTGGTTGATTTCCTTCCAAAATGGTGCATATGGTATTTTCTGTAAAGATTCAGAGGGTTTCAAAACACCAATCAGAAAGAATGTATACACCCCTATGTTCATAGCAGCACAATTTACAATAGCTAAGATCTGGAAACAGCCCAAATGCTCATCAGTAGATGAGTTGAGAAAAAAAAAAAACATGGGGGTACATTTATACCACGGAATACTATGCAGCAGTAGAAAAGAAGGATCTCTTATCCTTTGAGACAGACAACAAGGAGGGACCTGAAGAGTATTATGCTAAGCGAAATAAACCAGTCAGAGAAAGACAAGTATCACATGATCTCACTCATATGTGGAATCTAATGAACAGAATAAGCTGATGAACAAAATAGATCCAGAGACATGGAAGCATGGAAAGGACTGTGGAATCTTAGAGGGAGGGCGGGTGGGTGGAAAGAGATCAACCAAAGAACTTGTATGCATATATGCATAACCCATGGACACAGACAATAGCTGGTGAAGGCCTGGGGCGGGGGGCAAGGGCAGGCTAGAAGAGGTCAATGGGGAAAAAGGGGGCATAGGTAATACTTTCAACAGTAAATATATAATTAAAGATAAGAGATTCAGAGGGTTTGAAGAGCTTTCACAAACATTTATGTTCCTACCATGGGAAGCACAACTGATAATATAGAAATGAATAAGGTGTGTTCCCTGTCCTTGAGAAGCTATGATCTAGTAAAGGAGAAAAAATAAATGTCAAATATGAGCTGATACCGGAGGCCCACAAGTCTTTTGGGAGCAGAGGACAGAGATACTTTCTTTCATAGGTGTCAGAACATCTGTTGGAGAATGTAGCACTGGAGCTGGGCCTCAAGGGGAGGATAGTGGAAAATTCAAATGGTAGAGTTGTAGCTTTGATTATCATGATGAAGACTTTAGCCTTGACTTTGGGACATTCAGCACTGAAGGTTTATGTGCAGG